TTGTTTTGTTTTTTGAGATAAACTCTCGTTCTGTAGTTCAGGCTGGCCTTAAACTCACTGTGTAGCCCAGGCTGGCCTTGAACTTACAGCGATCCTCTGCCTTCAGAGAGCTGAGATTACAGGCTTGTGCCATCATGCCTGGTGTAGATCTGTATGTTTTGACTGACCAAAAAACAACAACAACAACAAAAAAAAAATCTCTAGGCTGTGAAAATGAATATGTAATTTAAGGCTGGCATGGAGGTTATATCTGTAATCACAGTGAAGCAGGAGGTAGAGCAAGGACAAGTAAACAAGAGAAAGCCTTGGGCCAAAGAACAGAGAAACCAGATAGAGCAAGGACTATTATTTCAGAATAACAGAAAACTAGTAAAAGTCACCCTGTCCCCTCCAAGACCTCCAGCATGTACAAAACTAAAAGTACATGGTAGGGCCAGGATTTAGTTCAGTGGCGCTGTGCTGGCCTGGTAAACACAAGGTCCTGAATTCGATCCCTGGTATGGGGGTGGGGAGTGGGGGAAGTACATGGACCTGGCCAGTGTCCAACCACATATTTTTTTTGGTTTTTTGAGACAGGGTCTCACTGTGTTGTTGAGACTGACCTGGAACTCACTATGTAGCCCAGGCTGGTCTCGAACTCACAGTGATTCTCTTGCCTCAGACTCCTGAGTGCTGGGATTACAAGTGTGCGCCACCACTCCTGGCCCAACCACATTTGAATTGCATTTTTTTTGGTTTTTTTTTTTTGTACGGGGGATTGCGGCAGGCAGTGAAACCATTGAGCTAAATCCCCAGCCCATATGAATTGCAATTTTGATCCCCCTCCTCCCTACAGAGGGCTTTGGACAACCCCCTAGGCCCTCTGTTTAGTACTATGTGAGACAGGGCAGGAAGATCACAAGTTCAACCCAACCTGGGCAGTTTAATGACTTAATGAGACCAAGTCTCAAAAAAAAAAAAAAAAAAAAAAAAAAAAAAAAAAAAGATTATTTTAGTGTTTTTGAGACAGGGTCTTACTTTGTATTTCAAGCTAGCCTTGAACTCATGACAATCCTCCTGCCTCAGCCTACCATGTGCTGGGATTACAGGTGATAATTTTATTTTAACATTTAGTATTGAATTTTGTTTCTGTACGTATGTTAAAATATGCACACGCACCCCGTAGAGGCTGATGCACACCAAATGATAGATAGTAGTTGTCTTGGCAATAGGGCCACTCCTTCTGGTCACTTTATTGCCCATCTCTTTCTGTGGCATGATCATCTTGCCAGGGAAATAAGCCAGTGCTGGTGAAGGGTGACCAGAATAGTAGGGGGTTGGTGGAGACACCAGAGCAGAAGCTGGAATCTTTAAAAAATGGGATCTGGATCAGGCAAAGGACTGGACAGGGCATCCAGTGTTGGCCAGAAGCCCAGGCAAAGGACAACTGTGTTGCTGGGGAAGAGCTCGCAGGTCCTCCGAACCATAAAGTGGTGGGACAAGGTCAGGTTATAACCCTTGGTGCTGAGCATGTGATGAGGACAAAAATCCTTAAGAGAATAAAAAGGGGAGATTTCCAGGCTGGCCAGCAGGCTGCATAATATAATTTCTCCATTTCTTGTTGGAAAAGCCCTGTTGTGGGGAAAAGGAACCTCAGAACTGCGTCTGGGTAGCATCTGAGCCTCCTGGATCTGGACCAGGTTGTGCTAATTGTCACTCTTTCTGGGATTGTCTGTGTACTGTTTTCTACCTGGGATCCCTAAAAAGTAGACCTCTCCCTTTTGGACATCTTGAGAAGGGCCTTGGCCTCTGATGAACATTGTTTTCTGCCCAACTCTGCCCCTTTTTTTGTGCCATGGGGTTAATGACCAAGTCTAACCCAGCTGCCTCCAGCTTCAGTTTTCCTTGGGAGGCCAGAGATTTTTCTGGTCTCTTACACAGTGGCTCTAGAGGCCTTCATTTAAGTGGCTTTGAACAACATAATGAATGCTAACTTTGCTAATAGTTTATCAAAAATACAAAAGCAGCCAGATGTGATCCATGCCTATAATCCCATCTACTCAAGAGGCTGAGTCAGGAGGATGGCAAGTTTGAAGCCAGCCTGGGCAACTTAGCAGACCCTCTCTGAAAATAAAAAGTAAAAAGGGCCAAGGATGTAGCTCAGTGGCAGAGCACCCCTGGATGCAATCCCTAGTACCAAAAAAAAAAGTTCAAAAGCATTGCATATATAACTGTTTCCTATATTAGACTTGGGTGAAGGGAAGAGCATAATATTTACAACTAATTGTTAAAATGTTATAAAATTAATACACAAACATTGAAATGTCTGGGTTTTGCTAGCTGGGCATGGTGACACATGCCCATAATCCTGGCCCGCTGGGAAGCGGAGGCGGGGGGATCACAGGTTTGAGCCCAGTTTGGAAAATTTAGCGATTTAGAGAGACCTTATCTCAGAATTAAAAAAGAAAAGAAAAGAAAGAGTAAGGATATAGCTCAGTGTGAAGGCCCTAGATTTAATCATGAATATCACCCCCACCAAAGTCTGGTTATAGTTGGCTAGGTACATTTCTCCTGATAAAAAATTTGGCAGTATAGGTGTGGGGGTATAGCTCAGTAGTAGGTGCTTACTTAACATGCCTGAGGCCCTGGCTTCAATGCATAGCACCACCAAAAACCCAAAAAACTAAACCAAAACAAAAACTCTTTTTTTTTTTTTTTTCTGGTACCAGGGATGGAACTCAGGTTCTTGTGCTTGTGAGGCAGGCAGCAGAACCACTGAGCTAAATCCCTGGCTCAACAAAAACTCTTGATGCTATCAGAGCATTAGCAAGATATTGAGGAGGACCGGCGTGTAGTAGAAGAGTTGGTGTTTAACATGAACAGACCCTGGGTTCAATCTCCAGATACTGAGGAATTATTCGGCAAGGATCCAAAGAGTTGAGCTCAGGCTCTTCTTGGACATTTTCTTCCCTAGGGGCATTGTGGGGCCAGAGACAGGGCTTCGCTGGTAGGGCACCAACATGCGAGGGACCCTGATGAACGCTTTTCATTTTGAGTTGGAATGGAGGAGCGCTCCTAGGAGAGGGGTCAGAGACAGTGTCCCTAGCTCTGCAGCCATCCTGGTCATTGAGCAGTGACACCTCAACTCCAGATGCAGCCACCAGCTCTCTGCTCAAGGATGCTGGGGCCAGAGCTTCTGAAACCATTGTGGAGCCCAAGGCAAAAAAAAAAAAAAGTGTGTGTGTTTCAATGTACTTTTTTTCTGTTTGTAGTACTGGGGATTGAACCTAAGACCTTTGCATAGAGCTATATCCCCAGCACATTTTTTTTTTTTTCTGTTTCCCAGCACATTTTTTTTTAAATTGAGACAGGACCTCACTAAGGTGCTAAATTGCCCAGGCTGGGCTCCAACATGCGATTCTCCTGCCTCAGCTTTCCAAAGGCGTTAAAGGCCTCCATACATGGCTATATTGTTAAATGTATTTTTAATTTTTAACTTTTTTGGGGGGGTACCAGGAGCTCAACACAGGACCTTACTCTTGCCAGGCAGTGCCACTGAGCTAAATCCCCTGCCCAGTTTTTAACTTTTTAAATGCAGTTCTAGGGCTTGAAGCCAGAGCCTCATGTAAGCCAGGCAAGTGCTCTCTGAGCTATATTTCCTGCCTCCTTAATATTTTTTTTTTGAGATAAATACTTACATAGTCCAAGCTGGTCTCAAACTTGCTGTGTAGCCTAGGCAGTCCTTGAACTCTAGAGTCTCCTGCCTCAGCCTCCTCAGTGCTAGGATTACAGGTATGTACCATCATGCCTAGTGTTTTTTTTTTTTTTTTTTTTTTTTAAACTCGGGTCCTTGTACTTGTGAGGCAGGCAGTGGAACCACTGAGCTAAATCCTCAGCCATTGTTTTTGTTTTTTGAGACAGGGTCTCACTATGTAGTTGAGACTGACCTGGAACTCACTATGTAGCCCAGGCTGGTCTTGAACTCACAGTGATCCTCCTGCCTCAGCCTCCCTGAGGGCTGGGATTACAGGCGTGCACCAGCATGCCCTGCTAATCATGGTTAAATTCATGGCTAAGTTTAAATGGTTAAAATTTGTAGAACATTAAAATTTGTTTTAAAAAATTAAAGAACTGCAAAACAGGCATATTAAAGTCTATGTTTAGGCTTTACATTTTACATTTACAAATTCCATATATCCAAATCAGAATTTATTATTTTTTACTTTCCTAACTTCAATTGAAGAAAACTCATGAACAGTCTTTTCAAACCCTACTTCTTTGCTGGTTTCATTTTTGTTTTGTTTTGTTTTTTGAGACAGGTCTCACTATGTAGTTCAGGCTAGTCTTGAACTCACTATGTGGCCCCAGGCAGGCCTTGAACTTGAAGCTATGCTCCTGTCTCAGCCTCAGTAGTTGTTGGGATTACAAGTGTGCACCACCATGCCTGGCTGTTTCATTTTCTACTGACAGATTATATGTATGACAATTTCTCTTGACCAACTGATCATCTTTTTTTTTTTTTTTTTTCAGACTGAGGATTAAACCCAGGCATGCTCTACTACAGAGCTACATCCACAGTCATTATTTTTTGAGACAGGTCTTATTAAGTTGCCCAAGTGGGACTCCAATTTGTGAGCCTCCTGCCTCAGCCTCCCTCAGTGCTGTGATTTCAGGCATTACCGCTGTGCCTGGTTCCAAGTGGTGATACTTTCTTTTTCATTTTTTTTTATTATTATTTTTTGAGACAGGGTCTTCCTATGTATATGTAGTTCAGACTGTCTTTGAGTCCACTATATAGCCCAGTCTGGTCTTGAACTCTTGGTGATCCTCTGCCTCAGCTTCTTGAGTGCTGGGATTATAGGCACATATCACCATACCTGGCACTCCAAGTACTATAGGGCTCTTAAGAAATTTTTATTTTTTTGTTGGTGTTGGGGATGGAACCAAAGGCCTTGTGAATGATAATCTAGCACTCTACCACTGAGCTGCATTCCTAGCCCCTTAATTATTTTTACATAATTTAAGTTTACTGAAACATCTTTTTTTTTTTTTTTTTTTTGT